AAAAGGAGCTCAGGTCTCTACACGGGGGACAAGGGTATAAACAAACAATGAGAACACAGGTGTTCTCTAGAGAGGTTGCGGCGACATGGGACACAGGGAGAAGTCCCTGCAGGGAGAGGTCGCCTGCTGCACAAGTAACCGGTGGCCCTGGGCTCCCTGACAGCTGTGCTCCTGCTGAAGTGGGGGTAGGGGGGAGGGAAAAGGGTCTTCGCAGAGGCTTGCATTTGAGCTTCGTGTTGAGAGGTGAGACGTGAGACAATGGGCAGAAGCAGGCATAGAGGTGGAAATGCCACAGCCGTGTCACAGCCAGGGGTGGTCGGGGCGATGGGACTGGAGTGGGAAAATGGCTGCAGATGAGCCAGCATGTGGGTGAGGACCAGTGGGGCGGGACGTTTACATGCAAAACCTTTGCATCCTCTCTCCCACCGCTGGGGGGACCAGGAAAGGCGGAGATGGAGAGCCTGGTTCTGGCCTATCACTGAATATTCAGACCCTTGGGCATGTCATTGGTCCCCTTTACAAGCGTAAGGGGGACAGTTTCCACCCCGGACAGGAGTGACAAGGGCACAGGAGTTACAAAGTTGACTCCGGAGTAGGTGCCATGGATGTCTGTGACCACATGTCCCCGCTCTGAGCCAGTGCCCGGGGCAGGGGCTGCCACCGACACCGCATGTAACCCTCAGGACGCGGGGCGCGCCGGCCCACCTGGGGGTCTCAGGCCGGGTGGGGGTTTCCAGGCTACAGTTACCGAGTTTTCTTACCGACTTCCACGTCCCGGGTCTCATTTTTTGGAGGTGCTATTATTTCTGGAAACCATGAAATGCCTTCATCATCTTGAATCAAAGACCAGAAGAGAATACAATGTTAGAACAGCTTTTGGATGGTCATCAATATAAACATGTATTTCAAATTTCTATCCTATTTCATAGCAATGCTTCTCAAATTTTCTGACGACAATGGCAGCAAATACACACAGACGCAAAGAAATAAAACTTTAAAATAAAATAGCATTTTCCCTTACTACTGATTATGCTCTTTGATATTTTTATTCTCTTTTATCTCATTACACAAATACTAGTCCAACCCATTAATTAATCGTACGACCTAACAATTGTCAGAAAAGTACACCTCAGGGAAGGGGAGCTCAGAACACCCGTGAGAATGATCAACGCAGGAGCCCCGCTTCTGCTGCCTCCTCCTCCTCCCCCCACACCCACCCGTGGCCCAGCCTCTCAGGAAGTGCCGGGCCTGTGGCCTGGCACCCAGGGACCGAGTGTGGGCTGGCGCCCGGGTGACTGTGTGCCCCAGACTGGGCCCCACCACTGAGGGCCCATGGTTAGGAGCCCGCGGTTCCGCTGTGAGCGGTGATGGCTACTGGAGTGTGGTCCACGGCCCCTTTCCCTGTGGGAGCGGAGGGCCCACCAAAGCCTTTCTCCGCGTGGCTCTGCCCCAGGAAATCACACACAGGCCTGCTTCCTCCACACCCATAGCCAAGCCAGGCTAAGGGACCATCTGTGTCCATGTGACACTCTTGATTGTGATATCTTTTCCCTGAATGGGCTTTTGTGGAGTTTAAAATAAATTGGAAAAATTTATAATTAAGTAACCTACTTGAGGCCTTTGATGATGTTGAAAGCATTGCAAAGCAGGGCTGAAAGCCACTTGACAACACTCAGGTGTCTTTATAAAGGTTCTCACTCAACTTCGAGTCCAGTGAGTTACATCAGAGATTAAGTAGACATTTTCTATTTACAGAATCTTTGACAACAAATTGGGAAAGAAATGTTAATCTTGCTCTTCAAATAGATGTACTGCTGGTCAAAAACGTTAAGTTAGCATTCGATCACATTATCTTTGAAAATTAAGTAAAAAAGGAAAGAACAGGTGATTTTGGGCTAGTAACACCGTCTCCCTCTGGAATGTCTAAGTCTTGATAGTGGTGACGGCAGAGATGCCGACTGAGGTGCTGACTGACGCAGGAGGCGGCCGGGGCGGCGCAGGAACACCAACAGCAGGGCCACTCCTCCCGCCTGATCTGTTGGCAAATGTTCTGTTGTGCTAAGCTCTGTACTTACTCTGAAAGGCGAATGATCTGGTTGCTGTCACATTGTAACTGACTCCATTTTCATTGTGCATAAATTTGCATGTATAATCACCCGTGTCCTCGCTAGTTGCATTGTCAATCAGCAAATACGCCTCTTGTATGTAGTACCTTGATCCTTGAAGAACTTTACAATTCTGAAATACAAAATGCCACTCCACTCTTAATAATCCTTAACGTCCATCTATTTTGTGTAACTTTCATTTATTTCTCCAAATTTCCTTTACCTTAAACCACTCAACAGGTGCTGTCCAATTGTAGCGCTGAATGGTAGGACAAAATATTTGGGAATTTTTTGCTGAACCAAAGGCTGTTGAATATATCAGGCGTTTTGGAATTTTGCAACCTGGTTGTTTCTTAAATATGGTGAGATTCATATGTCCAGTCTTAACAGAGGTAGAACTATTAAAATAAGTCCAACAATTTAAAAAAGTTACTTAGCATTATGAAATGATTTTACCCAAATCTGGTTTATATTATTTTATGTAGATTACAGATGAGGAAATTGAGGGACAGAGAAGTAACTTGCAAGCATCCAGCTGACTAGTGATGGAGATGAGTCTGAAACTGAAACTTGTCTGCCCGCAGAACCGAGGCACCTAACTATACCCGCCCTGCCTTTCAGTGAAGTTCATCTGACATTTTGTCTGTACCAAATACAGCCACGCAATAAAAACATGTGGCAGCCTGTCTGCAGAGTGAATAATCTGTAGGCCATAATCTCACATCCCTCCCCAATCGCCTCTCAGGTGCCAGGCATGGTGATGACCCTCCCGTGCCCCCGCAGGCCCGCGGTGCCCACTGCCTCGCTTACTGTTTGCTGTGCTGATTTACTCTCACTTCCAGCCAAAACTGAGCAGCTGGTCTCAATGTCTTGGTCACTAGAAAAACTAGGTTTTTTTTCTAACTGAAAAGACTGGGCTAAAAATTAATCCCTGCAGTTTTACATCCAAGTAGTTAGTTCATAAGCACTTACACCCCAACCTGAGCGTGTTCCTAGAAGTACTCTGTTACTCAAATCACTTTGCAAAGTCAACCATACCAGAAAAGTCTATAAAGAGAAGGAAAGTGAGGGCAGCTCAGGCTATCACCTCTTAAAGAAAAGAGAACGAGCCTAATGATCATGGTGACTGGTCCTACCTTCTGATAATGCAAGTGTAAACTCCAGAATCCTCAACTTTGGCTGGGAGAAGCTTAAGATATTCCCCTTCAGCAAACACACGATTTCCTTTCTGGGTGGTGACACTTCGGTTGGTGTTTGGGTAATACCACTCCACAGATTGTTGAGGACTTTCTTGTCTAGGACATCTCACAAGTAAAGCCTCATTTTCCATACCCCCGAATGATCTGCCTGCAAATTAAAAATATGAAATGATTGT